CAAAACAACAGCTCTGCCGTGAATCACGCTCTTTAGTACATTTCTTTGACGTCCGCTGCACGACTACGACGTGAACTCCCAATGCGACGTTTTATGGAGGACGTGGACATACGACGAGAGATGTTCCTTCCTCTATTTGAACATGGATATAGCCCTTAAGAATTCAACTCCAGGAAAAGACGCCTACATTTGACGAATAGAGCGGTTCCAAATAGACGCGATGAAGTTTGAAAAGACGCAAATTCATTTTTTTGGTGATGTTTTTACTACCGTCGTCGTCGTAACCCTATTTAATTTTATTACAAAGTGTGGCAGGCATTACAAAGTGCGACAGAACACCGTTGCGTTGAGTAGCCTGCGTAGGCACCGGTTAATTCTCTTAAAGGCCGCGCGAGGGGAACACACGAAGGAGAGAGCCTCCCCTCGTGCGCGACTGGCGCGGGCTATTCGTTGAGTGGTTTCACCAGTTTCATGGTGATTTGCGGTTACAAAAATATCCGGGTTTGTCCAGCGAATCCGGAGCTTACCGTCGTCCATCCTCGGATTGCCCCTGGTATTCATTTTCTATAACCCCTTTGTGCAAAACACTGTTTAGCAGGAATGTACGCCGGCGACACGGTTTTATATCTTTGATAGTGGTCAAACTGTACACAGGCACTTTAAATTTCTCCATTAATCAAGATCTTCAGTGTTGAACTAACTTGCTGGAAGCAGTCCCATAATGGCTCTTGCTGGAAGACAAAAATCTTTTTCTGAATATATCAAAAACTAAGAGCTATTATTTACAATTCAAAGGCAGAAAGAGCGCGATTGTAATTTTGAAATTTGTAATTAAGTTTGAATCTTCTCAGAAAGGCCCTATCTTGTGAAACTACTTTCAAATACTCAGGAGTAGTGTTTGATAACTTTATGGCTTGGAAGGCTCACGTGGATTATGTAATGAAGTGCGAAGTGCAAAAGTGGCGATAAGACTTAGGGCGTTTACTATTGGTTAGAACTAGTTGGGCAGACAAGTATAGTCGTCTGGATGTTTCCACTAAAATAAGGATTATCAGGCCAAATCAGTTTATTCCTAAATGGTATGTGGGGCAGTCATTTTTTGGAAGGAACCCTTATTTAAGTATGAGCTATACGTGAAATGTGGCTATATAGGGTACAACTGAGAACAAAGGTATTGAATTAAAGGTATTGAGCTTCGTGCAAACGGACGCAACATTGTTGGATGCTACATGTTGCGTCTGTTTGCACACCCTGCTGCATTTTGTTGCGTGTTTTTGGGAGTTGTTGCATCCGTTTTGAACACCACTGCAACAAGGACGCAACAACACGCAAAATTGTTGGCGCAACAATGTTGTGAGTTGTTGCGTATTTTATATTTATATTTTATTAGATTTGCCCTGAAGAATACAGAGAAAAAAAAACACTGAAGACATGCAAACACTAGTAATAAGAACGTAACAATACACTAATAATAACTTAAATATTTGGGCAGGGACACTGTAACAGCTAAAGCCAATTACTGCGGACCCAAAAAATAAAAGGATATAAAAGTAGCAATTTAAATCACATGCAGCAGCTAATTGGTGTAGAGTCCGGGTCATAGTTTATTGCTAGAGCCCGCGAGTAATAATCCTTTGCAAGTAGCTTAAGGACACGTGGCAAGAGTTGGATTTAAATGAGACCAGCAAAATTTAAAACTGTAATTGCCTGGACAAACGGTGATGCAAATATTTAATAATTATTCTTTGAAATCGAGTTGAATAGTGGGTAAATATTCCTAAAGCCACTATTCACCGAGATTGAAAAGAATAATTGTTTTAGTATATACACACGAAGTGATCTTAACAAAATCAGAGAGGAAACCATTAAAAAATACGATTTGATTGACAGATCAAATCACGCGAAAGTTTAAAAATAGATCTTTGTAGAATTTACAAACATAGCAATTCACAAGTTTATCACTTCGCAAACAACAGCGTAATGGCTTTAATGGAACCGTTAAAAGTTTGAATTGTTTCCTTACCTGAGAAGAAAAGAAGACGTTCGTTGTTTTCTCTTGACTCGCCAAGTTTATAGCCGAAAAGGTTTGTTGTATCGTTCTTCACATGTTGTCAAAAAATTATGGCGGCTCGGTTCCTCGAGGTAAGACGTCGTCTTCATGTAGCATCCTTTGTCCTATTTACTTGAAACGTAGAATTTCTGCAAACATTTGCTTTCAAATTTGTTTGTCATAACTAAACTTCGATTTTTGGGCCAAATGTTTCGTGATAGGAAACGCTGAGTTCACGAAATGGCCTCTTCTACGCGAATAAACGGGAGTTGTAAACAATCCATCGACCCCAAAACTCAGTTACAGTAAATGGAAATACGCCGTTTTGAATCCTTCGAAGTCTTTTCTTGCCTAAAAAAAAGTCAACCCTAGGATTTTGTTGACTTTTAAAACATCGTTCTCTAAAAAAATGGGAAAAAAGCGAGCTCACACATTATCCACTCGCTAGCAGGTGAATATTGTTGAATAGTCCGAGATAGCGAACCAATCAGATTGCTCAAATCACCAAGATCGCTGAGTGTGTATATACTAATTCCAAAGATTCACTAGCATTAGTTTCATGGCGTGTATGCAGTGTATTTGATAATGTCGAAGACAACTGCTGGTTAGCGGAATCCTTATACAAAGATTTTTCAAGTGAATTTTTGAAAAATAGAAAAGCAAAGGTACGTGGCAAACCACTCCCATGGATGAATAGTATTATAAGGAAGATAATGAAGAAACGATACAAAATGTTAGTGAGGGCTCAAGCCTCACACAATGCAGATGATTGGAACAACCGTAGAAGGCTCAGGAACCAAGTGAGGAAGGAAATGAAGATTGCAGAAGCCAATTACTGGTTGCTGATCAACTAAAATGCAAAATGAAAATAGTGGTAGTAAAGGGGTTTGGAAATTGGTGAAGCATATGGAAAGTCGAAGATAAAGAGACAGATTGGCCCTATTGCAGACGAACAAGGAGAACTGGTGATTTGGAGAAAGCTAATGTTTCCGTAATTTCTGTTCCAAAATTGGTGAAAAGTTAGCAAGCTCCTCTCAGTCGGGTGAAGTTGTTATGAACCCAGCCTTCCACAGAAGTACTCCATCAGTATGTGATATATCTTTGAGTGAAGAATCTTTTGAAATATAAGTTCAGTGCGGTAAATGATCGTAAATCACATGGTGCTGACAATATGTCTTCTAAAGAGATGAAGATTGTAGAATTCAGCCCATGTATTGCAAATTTAAGTAGACTGAGTTATTCAGCTGGTTCTTATCCATCTCAATGGAAGATCGGGAACGTAAAGGTGTTGTGGAAAAGTGGCAACAAAGAGGACTGCTCAAATTATAGACCTATCACACTTTCGTCTATACCAAGTAAGATCACAGAATCTGTGATATGTGCATGACAACATTGACAACCACTTAAGTAATGTGCTTCAGAAAAATCAGTGGGGATACAGAAAGGGGGTCTCTACCGAGTCTCTTTTACTATATCTGACTGAGACCTGGAAAATAAATATAGATCATGGAAATGTAGTTGGAGTTATCTTCATAGATTTTCGCAAAGCATTTGAATCGGTGTATCATGAAGTTTGTTCTCCAAAATGCAAGCCTGTGGCTTTTATAGAAATGTGTTACAATGGCTAGTCAGTTACCTGAAAAACCGAAAGCAATTTGTTGAACCGAATGGAGCCAAATCTCAGTTATATTTTGTGTCACATGGAGTTCCACAAGGCTCACTGCTTGGTCGTCGCCTTTTTTCAATATACCTTAATGACTTTGCAGAAAGCTTATCTAATGGAGAACTGCACCTTAATGCGGACGATACAACTGCATTTGCCACTGGCAATTCGGTGGATCAAGTTATTCAACTACTAAATGTCCTACTCAAAGAAATCATTCAATGGTGTAGAGTAAATAAGCCAACAATTTACTGAGGGAAATGCGAGACCATGATCATAACAAAGCAAAGGTTCATTGGCCCTCTTCAGCAAGTAAAGTGCGGAGATGTGGTGCTACATTTCACTAAAGTGGCCAAATGTTCACCAAATTTAGCAAGAATTTTGTCATATTGAACCGATGACGTCAAAATGACGTCAAAAGTGCAGTCTGGTTGCAGGTTATTGAACCGTTAACCGAGAAAACCTGGGGACGATGTTCAGTTGTTTTGGTAGTGACAACAAAATGGCTGAACAGTCGGCGGAACATTTTACTCGTTTCACGGCGAAATATTGTCTATAAACATGACAAGAACAGCACGACGACAAACGACATCTGCTATTTGGAGTGTATTTGCAGACCTGAACAGATCTTTATCTCCTTAACTTCCCCATAAAGATGCATTATCGATATGAACTTACATCGACCAAGGTTACCATGTTTTAGCTTGTTTTTAAACTTGGAATTATTTTGAAGGAATAATCAAACAATTATTGAATTCGGCTTTAGTAGGATATGAAGAATTCTGCAGATCTCGGTGGGTGTTATCCACCGAGGCCGAAGGCTCACTCAGCCTCATTCAATAATTGCTAAATATCCTCAAGCTGAATAATGAACCTTACAATATCAGATATCGGAAACGACACTGATTAATTTTTCCCACTTTTTAAAATGATCGTTTAATGTGTTCTTTTTCCTTGAAATATAGAAATCAATTGTTTTAGAGAACTACAAATTGATACAAATGTCTACACGTCAGTAAGGCTCTATGAGAAAATGTCACTGAAGAAAGTCACATGCTGCATCTCAAAAGTGTAGTGTTTTACAGGTTTGTCTCACAATTTAATTTAAATATCAGTAAGGTATTGGTATCTGCCAACTTTTTGCCAGCCTGATACCTTCTATATACATATAATTAGTGTTAAAATATTTACAAAACTTATTGAAACATCACCTTCGAAGGCTTATAAAATGGACGTTTGTTGAAAGTCTTGCGTTTGTTTTCTATTCAAAATTAACCAATAAAAGAACTAAAATTTAAAATACATATCGGAGGTGTAACCCAAGACTTTGAGGTACTTTATCATGTCCTTGTCAAAGGACTTGGTTCCACAGATCAGCACCTGAACATCGCTTGACGCTCCAGGCATCTCACGTGATACGAGCTCTTGGTTGATTCTGCCGTAAGACACGTGATCTCCATACTTTACTTTTGATTGGTCAGAATCACTTCCCTGAAAAGAAGTCCAGATGAGATCAAAGTGCGTTCCTAACATCCAATGAATGCACACAAACCAATCACATGCCCTTTGTTTCTGTTTGTGGTCTGAGAGATGATTTTCATTCATGACGTCTGACTTACAGGGTAAATGCAACAAGATAGCTACGACATACGTTTGACATCTAAAGACCCTCCGTGGGAGCAGTTTTCCGGATTGGTGATAACGGGAAGGAGCGAACGGGTCGTGAATAAAAGCGAGGGAGTTAAAACCAGAAAAGTCCTGATCCCAAATTAACTACTAGCCTCCACCCCTCCTTCCAAAGAAAAAAAAACATGAACAAACAAACAAAAGCTTTTTAAAACAACGAATGTTCTAGTACTACATGTTCGTTACCAAACTTCAAGACAGCGTTTTACCGCAAATCTAGCCTTTCCTAACACCCTTAAATATACCCGTAAAAGTCCTAAAATCGATAAACTTCAAAACCCAAAAATGTCCTTAGCACCTTTCCGTCACCACAAATCCGCTGTCATAGAAGCAAGCGGAATTATTTATCTCCATCATTCACAATTCTCATTCGTGTCGTGGGCTTTCTTTACTGTTATGTGGTTATTTAAGAACTGCACAGTGTCAAAACTACATCCATCGCATTAAACAAAGATACATACATTATAGCCCGTCAATTTCTCCTATCCCTAAAATAGCTTGATGCATGCACTAAACACAGACAGATTTTCGGAGAATCTGTTGAGCCTACACCGTAAAACATAATACTTCAAAATATTCTTTCAAAAGATGGTATCAGTTCGTTACCAAAACGATTGCCATGAGTTACTCCTTATCAATACATCAGAAATAAAGCATACAACACACCTTGCTTATTACGTACAGCACTGAAAAGTTCCAGTAAGCCGTCATGTTATCAAGGTCTTCCTTCATTAGAATATCTTCGTATGTTCGACTTGAGTAGACCAAGTGGATAAACGTTTCATCCCCCTCATTGTCCACAATTCCTTGAATCACTTGAAGCATTGGGGCAATTCCAGTTCCTGCTGCTAACATGCCAATTCGACGGTACTGAAAATAAAATAACAGAGAGAGCACCTCTTTAAATTTTACAAAACAGAGAGCGTCCGGTTAACAAATAAGCTGACGGAATTGAGAGTAAAAGTGGTTTTCGCCATTTTTATTAAAGACATGTCCACTACATGGCTGGCACAACCAAATCCTGCAAGAGTGAACACGAGACTGCGTAGTATTCCGACAGAACAACAAGTAGTATTAACGCAATATTGGAAGATTCTGCATTTCGCAGCTTGGTATTCCCTTGAAAGTATCCTAGGTTTTTGTTAAAGTCTGCGTAAGATTCCACGTAAGATTTCGTAAGATTTTACTTCTGTTTCTTCCAAAGACTTAATGTGTTTCGTGAAAGATTCCACAAGACTTTACACGATTCTGGGTGAGAACTCAGAAGAATTAACAGCATTCTCGGTTAGGTATTTTTTGGATTTTTACACCATATAGGTAAGATATCATAACAGTAAGATTTTGTAAGACTGTATAAGGTTCTGGTTAAGATTTCGAAAGATTTTGTACAATTCTGGGTATAATTTCGTAAGATTCTTTTAAGATTCTGAGTAAGATTTTGTAAGTTTTCATAAGATTCTAAGAAAGATTTCAGCGGAAAGCTCTACAGCGGAAAGCTCTCAAAATAATATTTGGCTGGGTAGACTACCGTATTTATTCGAATAAGCGCCCAACCTCGAATTAGCGCCCACCTCGAATAAGCGCCCATCCTAAAGGCAAAAAAAGTTAATAAGCGCCCAGCCTCGAATAAGCGCCCAGCCCACCCCACCCATGTGGGTTACAATGAGATTGAAATTAAATAAGTACTGATATAAACAGACTTTCCCGAAGACAGAGTTTTCTTCAGAGTAGGGGTAGTTTACAAAAACCTTGCTTTGTTACATCTTCACGTTTCGTTATGACCATTTACTGTTTTGTTGCAAAATAAACATACTACACTTGCTGAAAACGGTGAAAATTTAATAAACGCCCAGCCTCGAACAAGCGCCCACCTCGAATAAGCGCCCACTCTCAAGGTCCAAAAATTTAATAAGCGCCCAGGGAGGTTAATTGAATAAATACGGTATACGGAAGCCTTGGTCTTGGCCGGCCTGGCCTTGGCTGGGAAAGATTTGGTAAGACTGTGAGATTTTTTAAGACTCTCGGAATGATTTCGTAAGATCTTTGGAGATTCCGGGTAAGATTCCGTAAGATTTTTATAAGATTTTGTGTGAACTTTTATAAGATTCTTAAGTTTTCGTAAGTTTTCATAAGATTCTAGGAAAGATTACGTAGAATTTTATATGATTCTGGGAAAGATTTGGTAAGACTTCGTGAGATTTTATAAGAGTCTGGGAATGATTTCGTAAGATTTCAATAAGATTTTGGGTAACATTTTGTGAACTGTGATAAGATTCTTGATACGATTTGGTAAGAATTTACAAGATTCTGCGTAAAATTCCGTTAGACTTTAATAAAAAATTCTGATTACAATTTCGTACGGTTTGATTCTTATCTGTCATTTCGTCATCTGAAATCAAATAAACTTGTTATAGATCTTTCTTTTTCCCTCGTACAATCCCAGAATAAAACTCATTACCTTTGACTTAATGCAGTGCTATCTCAAGCTGAACATAACTGAGAATTTAAGCTCTTGTCACTACTATGTCTTATACCACTACATGAGAAATTTCTGCAATTTGATTGGCTTAGAGCAGTGGTATTTCAGCTTAATTTGAAATACCCACATGTGAAAATTACAAACCTTTTGTGGGTAGTAGTACAAACAAATAATAGCATGATTTGTACGTGATATTTGGCATAAATACCACTATGATCATTCCTGTAACTTCACATCCCATATAGGAGATTATACAGTAATAATTTAGATTTAGATTTGGATTTAGAAGAAACTGAAATACCTGATTTGGTCTGTACAAAAATCTTCCAAATGGTCCTCTCCATTCAACCTTGTCTCCTTCTTGTAACGTTTTGACATAACTCGACATCTTACCACCTAAATATACCTGAAATATGGAAGACAAGCAGTTATTTTTTTATGCAAAGAATTAAAGTGTTATATGTAGCAACTAACAATCATAAACGAACTTTACGACTCAGAAAAATTTAATTAATAAAAATGCGTGGAAAGAATTCCAAATTACCACATAAACTATGGCCATTTCAACTGTGAATTTCCAATCAGAGCCAGAGTGGAGACTCTACTTCAAACACCATGGTGCAATTACTCTTAAGTACAGTACGATGATGGTACTCTACGGTAGTTAAACTCAGCAGTTCAAAGGTTAAAATAATGGCAAACAAAAACTCTTCCAGTGAGGACTACTTAAGACAAAATAAAGACAAGAGCCCTCTTTAATTGTTCTAAATTGGCTTAAGCATGCACTTATGTAATGAGCAGCCCATGAGGTATGATATTTAACCTCTGTAGCTTTTTTTTGTTAATTTTGAAAGTGGACTGTTACTATTTCAACACATATAAACTGCGGAAACTGATTCTTAGAAATCTACACTTGTGTTATAGCTCGCAAAAAACAGAAATCTTACAAAAGCAAAAACACATACCTTGATGAGTACATCAAAGAAACCTGAGCAATGTGTTGGAGATATTGGTGTGTATTGCCTAGTGATAGCCCTACCATCACACTTTCCACTGAAATATAATCACAATTAATCTGCTTTGAAAAACTTAACATTAAAGATCACTCTAGGAGGTAAATGATTTTCGTATGGTCACTTTAGTATTTGCCTTGCAATTTTCTCAGTTTGGTAGACTTCTTTGACACAAAATTTAATAAGAACAGGATCGTACCCTTTTTTAACAAAAAATTCAAGCACTTTTTTGAGAACTTTCAAGGACACATTTCCCACTTTTCAAGGACTCCCTTCAATGCAAAATAAAGCCTTGAGTCTATGTCTTTTTTAGTTCTAAATCCACAACATGAGCAACTTTATCCTGAACGTCTTTCTGTGTTTGCTCCTTTTCCTTTGGGTTGGGTAAAGTTAGCACCAAAATTCAAGGACTTTCAAGGCCTTAAATTTATATTTTAAAATTCAAGGACTTCCAAGGTGCATGCAAACCCTGTAAGAGGTTGGTCAAATTACTATCACTCAGCCTCTATATAGCTTGAAATTGTTTGGTGTACAATGTAGTGTGTGGAGGCATATCATCTTTGAATGCTGTGCCCTAGTTTGAAATTGTGACCTCAACCCACCTCTCTCTAAATAAATATATTATTTAATAATGTTAATTTTTATTCAGTGTAGAGGTACAAAATGATTCTTAAGCAAAGCAATCACATCCTTTATGAAAAGATGCATATTATACAACATCATTTTAGAATTAGGCTCAATAACGTTTGGGTTTTAATAATATGAAATGCATTCTGTTTTGGGTTCCATGGTACCCAGTATACAATGTCTATGAAAAAACTATGATTACCTAGTTGCCCAAGAACAAAAGGAAGGCTCCAGAGGCCAAAAGGCAATGCTAGAATGCAGCCTTGGGTTTGCATTCAATTTAAATGATTACCCTGGAGCCATTAAGCTATATATTATACAGTTAATATATTTTTTTATTCATGTGTTTAATCTATTTTGTGAGAAAACAATAATTGCATTTGTACAGGATGGATAGCCAATAATAATATTATTATTCATGATTCCTAAAAATTGCCCTTTCAGTGATTCATTCTTGGCAAGCAATTGCATGTCACAATAACATGGTACAGTGAAGGAGATGCAACTGGTAAAATATTGTGAATGCTACGGTACAATAATATTAATATTCACATGGAGAATGCTTTCAATCCTGGTAAAATAAATATCTGCTTGCTGAAAATGAAATTGCCATCTTTGCCACAACATCTGTAAATGTTTCAACCTTCAAATGGCAGACCTGCCAACCCCAAAAAGGCAAAAAATGAGAGATTCTGAACCTAGAGGTGGAAAAAGTAGTGAGAAATGGGTAAAAAATAATGAGATGTCCCAATTTTGCAAGTGGTAGGATTTCTAGCAGAGATTATGGGTGCATTCCTTTGGGATGATCCGGATCAGGATCACTGATCTGAGATCACTTGGATCAAGGAAGATCAGATGAACCGATGAATCCTTGTCCAGAATGGATTCATCAGTTCATTTGATCTACCATGATTCAAGTGATCTCGGATCACTGATCCTGATCCGGATCATCTCAAAGGAACACACCTGGCTATGGGTATTGGAAGTCACATATCACTTTAAAGCTGGAGCTGTGTACACATACATGTAACGATCCATTTTACAATTTAGGTTTTGTAATTTCTATGTTTTGCTGGCGACCATCTTGAAACATGAGAATCAGTAAGTCTGCGCAGTTGGTGGCAGGGACAACTTGCGGTAGGCTAAAAGAATGTAATCAAATTAAGGCGACTACTAAAGGTTTTCCTTGTATTGTCTTGAGCTGACTATTTATTGATATCTAGCTTGGAAATGAACCCTACAGCTTCAAAAAAATTTTGGAGTTTGAATTTTCAAGAATGCGTAAGAAATCAGTTGCCAACTCGTGACGGCGTGTGATTGGTTGTGAAATCGTGAGACTCATGACAAAGTGGTGAGACTTGGCAAGTCTGAAATGGCTATATTATCGGATGACCATCGGTTTGTACAGAAATTAAGAATCACCTCATATTATGAAAATAATTACCAAGCAGAAAATCTATCATTCTTTCATACCTCATTATCAGATGCTGTCCAATCTTTATCCCAAGTTTCTTGTTTCCTGGAATGTTAAACCTGTATATGCAGGAATCGCCAGTAAGTTTAGTAATAGATTCCAGTACAAAGGATCGAAACTCTGAGGTACAAAGTGCTTCATCACAATCTCCACGTTGCACATCACTATTTTTCCCAGTTTTTATTTTGTAACATTCAACTTTCCATTTTTTCACTTCCTCCTCATAAATGTCAAAAACACAAGGAATGCATCCAGTACCACAGCAGTCACTGTCAAGTGGTTTTTCGGGCGGTTCAGGAAGACTTACAGAGATACCTTTTTTGTTCTCACTTGAATGTTCTCCATTTGCAGCCATTGTAACAAACGCACTGTATAATCGTAAACACTGTAGTGCTTTCAATAAAAATGATATTTTACGTCAAAAATAAACTACCGGTTTTCTTGTAATCATCGTGTGGTAAAAAAACGCTATCATAAACTATCATAAACTAAGGTGGTTAGCTTTCTTGCTAAAGTTAAACTGTGCAAGAGTTTTACCAGAGCTTAGTCACAGTACACGAAAATCCGAGTCAAGAAACTGTCGCGTCAAATGATAATAATTTCCGACCAATCTCCTTTTTCAAAAGGGAAGTTGGAAGTCTTGATTCTAGTTTTCTTCTGAACACAAGCTATTTTCAGGCTGCTTAAGTTCACATTCAGCAGTAGACAGTCTTGGTGGAGTAGAGTCTCTTTGTAGAGTGCAGTCTGTTCCCAGAAGCAACGAAGTCCACCAAGAAAAACCTTCAGAACGTAGCTGCTTTGATCCAGTATAAACCTCTCCTTCTCGCTTCCTTTTATATTTCAGTTTTTGGGATCCTTGATTCACCGGCTTATTGTCATTCATTGTTATCTGCAGAACGTAAGTCTTTACAAGTAAGTCTTGAGACTCTCCGCCATCTCAGCCGCCATCTTTAACAGATCTACAAGCAAGTCCAGTCCCTCCGCGATAAAGTTTGACAGGAGCACGGGATCCCCAGTACGCGACCAATATAACCTTTCTCATCTTCTCACCACAAATTCGCGGCTCCTGCCATGGGTAATGGAAGGATTTGAGGTAGTGTTTTGGACCAGTCAGAGCTTCCAAATCTGAATGATCAGCTGAGTAATTATACCAAACCAGGAGCCTAAGAACTGTGGTGATAAACATAAGGAATTTGTAACGCATTTTTGGAAAGAAATAAAACTTAAACTTGACGTTTCGCATGTTCAAACATTCATCTTCAGAAGTAATCATTGAATAACAACAGAAATTGAAATGCAGAGTAAGTAACTACTTAAAGAAACTGCAATAGATGACATTTGCTAGTAACTGATTTGCATATAAACAAAGCATGCAAAATAAATAATGGTAATAAAAGTTTTTCACTGCTGACATTGACTATTTTCGAATTCCCCATAATACACTCTGTTTGCCCCCCAAATTTTGCATAACTTATTGTCTTAAAATGCTCTTGGGAAAATGCAATACTCCCAGGAGCATTTGAAAACAATGGTTTATGCAAAATTTGGGGGGCAAACAGAGTGTATTATGGGGAATTCGAAAATAGAGAATTTTCATTTTGGGAAGGTCAGCAGAGTCCCCTTTTGCAATGGGTGTCTGACCGTCCTCTTGCCAAAATTTCGAAATGGTCCCATTTGAAGTTGTAACCGGTTGACGTGACATTGTCTACAATAGAGATGAATGACTGCTACTCGTAATGCTGTGAAGTGTTCAGTTTTCCGTCACGTTAACCACGTTTAGTTTTTACCTACTGGTATGTAGAAATCCTGCCAGTCCCAACAACTAGTCTTATAAACAATGAGCATTTGAGTACGAGTGAACCTGTCACGCGTGCTTTGGAAAAAAATCTAGAGGTCAAAGCAACCGTAAAATTTATTGATCCAAGCGCTCAGCTGTTTGGTGAGGATTCTGCTTTGTAACCCTAAATAAAGTCGAATTGAGACGACTTTCTTCCTTCCAGAGCCTACTGTTACCAGGTTTCTGACCAAATACAGCGGCCGATCCAGACGTTCAGATAAGGTGGGGGTGGGGGAGGGGCGGACGGTCTTCCAAACCCTGAGATAAGGAAAGCTGGCCCCCCTGGGCTCCTCCCCTGGATCCGCCACTGAAATATAACTTGTCATAAATACTTCCATATCCACTCATTTCAGTACGTGTGCCCAAATTTTATCTTTGATTCAAGTATTAGCATTATTATCAAGACTTGTCATCATTTACTTAGTGGGGCAACATTTGGCAGCTTTATAGAAGAAAACTGAAAAACGATTAGCCGCAAGCATAAAATTAGCCTGCAGTGTAGGCCTATTTTGGGCGGGCGAAGGCTGTTTGTTTATGTTCGCAGTGTTTAAAAAAAAAAAATGGAGATTGGGAAGAGTAGAAATAGCAACTCTTAGGGTAGCTGCTAGGGCTAAAGAAGGAAATGGGAGAGGGGGAGGGGAGAAAAAAATCAGCCAGTCAAGATTGGATTCTTAAGATTGATGATACATGTTTATTTTAGTTAATCTTTGTTGTTAAAACGCCTTAAGGTATAAAGATAAACTCCAATAAGGCAAACATAGTATTATCTTTATAAATGGCCGTATTTAAAGCATTTAACTTCTGCTTTTGCCTCTCCAGTCAAGAGGTCAGCCAAAATCAACCTTTTTTTATTGTTCTAAGGAGTTTTAAAAATTTATTTCACGCAACAGGATACGATAAGCAGGTACGAACAGAGGTCAAAAGCAGTGCCTCTTTGTCATTGGGAGTTAATAGATAGTGCTCAGGCGATGAACACAAACAAGAATCTGTCGTTTCCTTACCATTCAAAGGGTTTTTCTTCTCAAGGTTTATTTTAACGTCGGTAAACAAGTAGAATAAAAATAAGGTTCCAAGTAAACAGAAATGAAATTACTGTTTTCCTGGACAGTAACAGATGGACAGATACAGGCAAGATTAATAAGCGACCAGTCACCGCCAGCTTTCATTGTTATCTTTTAAGAATCTGTGTCAATAGAAAAGGTAGATAAATTTTACTGGTTACCTGTTGAATAAGTCATACATCTGGCATTTGCTTGGTATCATTTTCAGCAATTTCTGCCCCCTAATTACTGAAAAAAATTAGATAGTCCTGGATTTGCCAAAAAAAAAAAATGCTTGGAATTATGGTTTTCATACTGATCACGGCTTTCGGTTCAAGGGCTGTTTAGCTGCTATAAAAAAATGTCTTCTTTCAAGCTCCTTTCATGCTTTCAGCCTTATAATATTGAAAATTGTTTGTCGACTGAGGTCGTATTACTATAGGGCATCCACTTGCCTCGGAAAAATCTGATACAAAAGTGAGGCAAAAACTGAAGTCACGGAGCGTTCATGTGAATGAAACAAATTTACATTCGCTGCCGGAAGCGTGAGGTTGTGACTTCTTGATATAGAATATTCTAAAGTTTTTAGCATGGGCTACCAGTAAAATGCGTGTCAAAACTGCGTGGTCAACCATTCACACGTCATTAACTGATCAGTGGAACTCAGTGACCGAATGTTTCTAACGTCAGAAGTGTCTCAAATGGTTTTCCCCATGGTTAATTAAAAAGGCCAGTAGCCTGCGTTGCCGCGGCAGCCGGCCCACACATCTCTTGACCATTTGCATGGAAGGTTTAAGGTGTCTGGCAGGCAAGCTACAGACGAACCTCCTCCTCACGTAAGCGACCACCTCCCATAAGCGACCGCCAATCCAAAACGCCTAAACTTTCCCAGTCAAAGCCTTACAGTTGCAACCCCTTGTAAACGACCACCTCCCGTAAGCGACCGCGACCACTTTTTGGGCGTGAAAGTTGAATGATTTTCTATTGTTTTTAACCTATTGTAAGCGACCACTTGACACTTAGAATATACGAAGAACTTTAGTAACAACATGGAACTACACAAGGCGTAAATTAGAAATTGTATGCAATAAATTATCTTCCATAAAGTAGATGTGCTCGGACCTCTTCTTGGAAGAGGCGCCCTGTGGTTCGATTCTTGTAAGCGACCACCTCCCGTAAGCAACCACTAAGTCTTTGCATTTTGGGTGGTCGCTTACGGGAGGTTAGACTGTATTAAAAAAGCAGTTTGGTTAATTTTGCCAGTTGCCGTACAAGCTATTTATTTTTTCATATGACTTTTTCGTCTCATCCGAACTGTTAGCTACCCTGATGGGTTCACTCATGGGCCGTGCGTTTCACTGTTAGAAGATTCTAGGGGACATTTTGTCTTTGTACCAAATTTTTCAAGAGACCTTTCTTGAAACAATATAATAATCGCAATGTCGTAGGTCGTGATAAAGAAATGAAAAACCCAACCTCCTAATCTTAGGTAAGTTCAGGGTTCAGAAAAACTCCGACTATCTTAGACGAGTGGAAAAGTGATCTTGAAATTGTGTCTTTCACGAGCTTTAGAATTTCTAGGCAATACTGATTTGCTCCTTCGGACCTACAGTATTTTGGGTGCCCCTGGTATATAAAATGTTAGCACTCGAGCAGGACCCCCTGGGTACTTTTTCAAGAGTCTTGGGCCCAGAAGACCAAAAAAAAGAATGAAAAGAAAATAACAGCCCCATCGTAGCCAAAAGTGGCTGAAATAATGCTGAAATTGACGCTTGTGATGTTCTGGAAGAGTTGTCGAGATACAAGTGCACTTGATATCATTATTAGATACTTGACGAAAGAGAGGGTATCGAAAAAATTGCCAATTGGTTCACTCACAAGACAATTGGGCCAGTGCGAGTCTGTTACATTTTCGGCATTTTACAGTCTACTCTAGCCCTGTGGACACCTTGCTAAAATGTTGCTGACACTCGATCCAGAAATATGGACAGCAGCTCAATCCCAATTAAATAACGAACTTCAGAAGGAAATAGAGCAAGGCGGGTGAAATTCGCAGCTAGTCTATTCGACCTATTTGTAATGACTTGACCAGCTTTTATACAAAGAAACAGGGTACAAAGTAGGGTACGAGTAGGCACTTCATTTTATAGAACAGGATTTACCTTTAATCAGCTAAGTTGGCTAATGATGCAGGAGTGGACTTCGTTTCCGTTAAACATCTGTCATCAGCGAATAAACAAATAGCAGGGGCTCTGGGAAAAAAAAAACACGGGCATAAGGTGTTAGATTACCCACCTCATAAAGTTTAGCACAATCTTAACGAGAGAACATTAAAAGCGCATGAGATAACACACGAGGAAGCAAACCGTCCCGACGCATCTTATTTGACTTAGTTTAAAGCATATCATCACGAGGACATGAGATCAAAAATTCCATTGGCTTAGTGATACAAACCTGAATAACCAACATCAGTGCATTTTTATGGTCGGTTACAATCCATCCGATTCTCTATTCGACTCTATTTTCGTCTTCCGTCGCCACGAGCCTTCTTTTATGCGCTAAGAGAAGTGTACAAGGCTCAGAAAGTCCAATTTATTTTACGATCTCAGAAGCTGTGGTCAACCATATTTCATTCATGGTTCGGAAGCGGTTTCTTTTTCGGAAAAAGTAAAGTAAACACAACTTGATCAACTTACACCAAACTGATTAATACTTGATGGATCACACATTCCGGCTTAGTAGAGGGATTCGTTGACACGAAAAACTGCCAAGAACTTTGTAGCCATGGAAGAAGAATCAGTTGATTTAGGCTCAGGTCAAGTAGGCGATGAGTTTTCTGCGGATCCCTACATCAACCCAACATTATTGTCCCTACAAAGTGCATGGTATTCTTTCGTATTCACTCTCGGAGTGATCGGCAATATCTACATAATCTTGACGGTGTGGTGCCGAAAAGAAATGTCTTCTACAATCAACTGGTTCATTGTAAACTTGGCATTTAGCGATCTAGGGATTTTGCTGATCTCTCTTCCAGCGGAGTACATCAAAGACTATTTTTCGTGGCCATTCAATAAATTGACGTG